AGGACTGCCGTCTGCGTAGGTGACCTGTATGGCGCGTGCCGGGCGGGGCCTTTCGTCCTTGGCAAACCAAGTATAATTTTTTTTCAGTGCAGGTTGGGAATGTTGAAGAAAAGCTCTTCTTAACTCTAACTTCTCACAAATATGGAAAAAGACCTAGCGGAGAAGTTAGCAGCTGCAGCCGGTGTCATTATTGAGTGCTTACTAGTGCCCGGCCCTTTGAAAATCGCTCGCGTGGTACTTAATTCTCACACTAATTTGGTAAGGTAGGTGCTATCCCTATTTTACAGGTGAGGAGGTTGAAGGTGTCAGTCTTTTGCTCAGGCCAAACAGCAGGTAAGTGGTAGAGCCAGTGTAAAAATGCAGGTCATTAGTCAAAAGATTGCTTCAGGTTTTCTGACTTCAAATCCAAGATTCCTTTCACTGTAAAATATTTACTTTCAACAGTTTAGCCCAGATCTTTTTCTCCAATCCTATTGCTTAACGTGCATTCTTCCATTCACTATTTACTGTAAAAGTATGGCTCAAATGTATGAAAATGGACTAGCAGCTGAAAATACAGAAATTAAAATTACCTGCCCTCCAAGGCATCACTCGGCTTGATTCCCCTCTCACCCTGGTTTTTTTTTCCATCGTTATTGCTTTGCCACAGGGTTTGTTGTTGTTATTGTTACCTTGTTTTGTTTTGTTTTTGCTACAAAACTTTTTAAATTTTATTTTTCAATTACATTATTATTTTGTATTAGTTTCAGGTGTACAGCGTGGTGGTAGACAGTCATATATTTTACAAAGTAATCCCCCTGATATTTCTAGTGTCCACCTGACCCGTACATAGTTATTACAGTATTATTGACTATATTCCTTATGCTGTGCTTAACATTCCTGTAACTATTTTGTGACTACCAGTCTGTACTAAATCCTTCACCTTTTTCACTCAGTCCCTCTACCCCCTGACCTGTGCCTCGCCACAGGTTTTGTGCTGTGAACACATTTGGGAAATTTCCCTGACCCCATTTTTACTCTCTTGAAATACAGTCCCTTTTTTTAAGTTCCATAGCCTCTTGTAATATTTCTAACTGCCATTTGTTGAGTTCATATGATGAGTATGGCACTGTACTAAGTGCTTCTTCATATTTGTTACTTAATCCTTAATATAACCTACCAGCATAGTATTACTATTGCTTTTTACAAATAAAGTGCAAAGTTAATTGCCTGAGAATACACAGCCAGTAAGTAATAAGTACCTGAATTAGGGTTTCTACCTAGATCTTTGATTTTGCTGCACATACTCCTCAAAGTCTCTGAATTCCCACAACCTTTATATCAAACACTTATCAATTGTATTATAATTACCTATTTAACAGTTGATCCTTACCCCTACCCCTCAAGGACTCTGAGCTTCTGGAAGGTAGAGACTTTCATTATTCATCTTGGAGTTCTTGACATCTAGAATACTTGGTTCAAGGGGGGAAGGGCCTACTAGCTTGTGTGGGTGAGTGGGTGGATTTTTGAGTTGATTTTCTGGTGGATGAAATGATAGACTGAAAGTAAAGTTTCTTACAGTTGGAAGGGATTTGGGAATTAGTCATTTTACCAGACATCTGTTGAATTATTAATATGGGACGGTTACTATGCTAAGTGACTTGCAAATAGTTTCAAACTTAACCTGTATTATTCCTGTTTTTACAGATGAAGAAACTGCTCAGATTTGGCCAAGATCACATAACTAGGTGGGGAGTTGGAGCCCACTATGTCTGACTCCAAATTAATATAGTGGTTGTAGCCACTTGTATAATAATGGTAAAGGCTTCATTTTTGCTTTGTTGTATGGGTAAACTCATGAGGGCAGGAGGCAGCACATCCTTAGACATGACAGGAAGGATTAGAAAAAGAAACAGAAGAAAAGTAGAAAAAGTAAAATGCCCTCACATTAATTTTAAAGGATTTAAAAATAAAGCAGAAACAAATGGACTAGGAAATAAATTGATCCCAATAATAGCTGGTATTTGGGAAAAAAAACACAAATAGACACTTAGCAAATCTGAGGAAGGAGCGAAAACAATATTGGAAACAAAGGCAACATATTACTGATATGAGGGTTTTTGAAAATCAAAAATGATTTAGTGTAAAATTACACTAATAGTCCTGAAAAATGATGTATAATTTTCTAGGAAAATGTAAATTTAAAAAAAAAAATTGGTTCAAGTTAGAAAACCTTAGTAAGCTGATAATCATAAAAGAATGACCTATGTAGCTCTGACAAAAGTTACCAAGAACAAAGCAGAAAGAAGAATGGAATGCTTTCCCACTATGAAATATCATAAATAAGGAGAGGGAGGGGGAAAAAAACTTACATCTCAGTCTCACTTATCAATGTATATACAGCTATCCTAAGGGAACTATAAAGCCTACAGTGCATTTAGAGAATAATGTCATAACCAAGTTGGGTTTATCCTACCAGTACAAGGATGGGTTAACATTAGACAATATAGCAATGGAAATTTCCTAATAAAGGAGAAAAACGATATGATCTTAATTGATACTGAAAAATCACTTGAAAAATTAGCATCTATTACTTATTCAAAAAGAAGATAAAATTTATATTAAGTAATAAAAGGAAGCTTACTTAACTGAAGGAACAAATAAACAGCACATTTAATGTTAATAGTCCAGGTTATCTACTGTCAGTCCTGCAAGTCAGCATTGTCCTGAGAATTTTGGACCCAGTGTAATAATAAGCAAGATAAATAAGGTATGAAATTGGAAAAGAAGAAATTAAGACAAGTGATGTCATTGTTTACCTGGAAAATATAAGACAACTGTAAAATATTAAGTATTAGAAAAGAGTTCAGTAAGATGGAGAGCTAGCAGGGCAACATACAGAAGATTCCCTATAAACTAAAATAAATGTGTATATGTAAAGAAAGATTTCATTCACATTAGCAGCAACAGTGGGGAAATCTAAGAATAAACCTATGAAGAAGTAAGCAAAATCTACATGGAAAAAACATAAAACTTCATTTATGGATGTTACCGACTAAAGGGAAAGATGCTATGTTCCTGTGTGAGGAGGTTCAGTTACTGCAGATAGGATTCTCCTGAAAGTAAATTTGTTGCATTTGAAGTAAAAACCTAATGTAATTTTTTAGTGGAAGTTGGCAAGATGATTTTAAAGTTTATCTGGAAGATTAAATGTGCTAGGTTAACCAAAACATGTTTGGAAAAGATCAATTAATGAGACTTAACCCACATACATATTAGAACTATAAAACTAGAATATTTAGAACAGGGTGGTATTAGAACAGGACTAGACAAAGAGATTAGTGTAACAAACTAGAGTCCAGAAATAACCCCATTATAGAGGCAGAGTTTTTCAAATAGAGAAATACAGGTTCTTCAATGTTTTCATATACAGAAATTTCAGAATTAAAGTTATTAACAATTATAAAGTCTTAAGAGACAATACAGAAAATTTCAGTGAGAGAGAATAACTCAATAGAATTAGCAAAAAACATAATAAAAATACCAATAGCAAATTAACAAAAGAGAATACTCAGACTGTTGAGACATCACAATGATAAAAATTGAAAGATTATGGATAATGAATGTTTAGAGGTGGTCTAAACAAGTACTCTGAAGACTGCTGGTGAAAACTAAAGTGGTAGGACCCATGAAGGACAATTTCACACTGTCAAAATTCCACATGTACGTTATGCTTGAGCCAGCAACTATCGAATTGTAAAATCTTCAGAATAACATATATACTAGGATAGTCATTGCAACACTTTTTAATGGTAAATAATTAGAAATTTGAATATTCATCAGTGAAAGGATGGCTAAATTACACATATACATGCATTTAGCAACATGGAAAGGGTTATAAGAAATGGTAAATGAAAAAAGAACCACAAATTGTTAACTCAGTGGTTACTTTATGTAACAAGAAAGAGGATGTGAAAGAAGACTTTTATATACTTACATTTGATTTTTAAAATTTAATTTTTTGTAAATAAAAACAACAAAGCACAGGAAGACATGTCACATAAAGCAAAAGATACTTTAAGGAGTACATGGGCCAGGAGAGATTAAGAGGCTAATAAAAGCACATTCGTTGTGGCAAGGCATAATACTCGAGAGCAATGTTAATGAAGAAGCCAAGATGTAAAAGCCAGATTGCATAGGATTTCAAGGTAAGTAAGGGACTGGCATTAAGGAAGTTTGGAAGTTTTTCAGGTGGGAAGTGGGCATCAGCATTCCAGATAATTGGAACCCTTTGTAAGTAGGAAGATTATGATTCCAACTAGTAGAAATGGATAGTCCTCCACCTGTCTACCTTAGGATTTCCAAAGTTGGGTAATCAGGTCTGCATCTAGTTCCAGAGAAGGAAGTAGGGCCAACCCCTGACCAAAAATTGAACTAAGGGTTTTGGTAACCATCTCTACTTTGTTCCCTCATGCTTTCCAGGCCTTCTTGCTCTCCCTCTGGGCATCCCACTGATGCTTTTTGGCTTTTTCTTTAACTTGTTCTTCCTCACCTGCCCAACAGTGTCCATTATTTCAGGGAGCTGACCCCATATAGAATTAGGAAAAAACTTAGTACTACTGCAGAAGTTCAGGCCTTGACAATAGTCTGACTTTCCATTTCTACCTCCAGATTACCTTTTTAGTCAGCTAAATCTTTTCACTTGGAGACATGGTTAGATGCCTTATATTTTCCTGAATATTTTGTATAAACCTTTCAGAGCATTTATTAGGCACTAAAATAGGCTGTAAAGAAAGCCAGCCAGGAAAATAGAATTCTCTATTTGCTAAGATGTTATATGAGAATCTTTTAATAGGTAATTAGGTCCTATTTTTATCCCTAAAAGCTTGTTATTAGCTGAATAACAGGTCACTGTAGTATTTTCCAGAACATGAAAGTTTTAAGTAGGTAAATTATATTGATGTTGTATAGGGTATAAACAATGAAATTTGTAGTTTTCAAGAAATACACTATTTTATTCTCACAAACTCATTTCAAATGAAAATGTTCCATCTTTAAGTTTTCCAGCTTTCCTTGCTACACTTTGCAGGATAAATTATTTCTAGTTCCCAGTGCTATGTTGTGACTTATTTTCCATCTTTTGGGGCTAAAATTCAGTGTTCTCTGACTTCTAGATCAGTTAGGAGATTTTGCCTGTTCGTTAGAATCATTTAGAACTTTTTAAAAAGTATATTTGTATTGATTTCAGAGAGGGGGAGAGAGAAACAAATGATGAGAATCATTGTTTGACTGCCTCCTGCTCCCCCACTAATGGGGATTGAGCCTGAAACCCTGGCATGTACCCTGACGGAATCAAACTGATCTGGTTCATAGGTCCTCAATCAGTGAGCCAGGCTGGAACTTTATTTATATAATTGACATTAGTTTTGAGTATAACTATGGAGCATCTTAAATACTAGAGGTGTTTCTGAATGAGAATCTATTGACTCTCCAGAGATAAGGAATCTATTCTTAATACTCTGTCATACTAGTGCACAGCTCTAATTGGAGGAGGGGGAAGCATCTAAATCACTACCCTAAATCTAGCTTCCTCCTTCAAAGAAAAACTAGGAATTCTCAATTCCAGGCCCCAAATCTGTGACCATCTTAATACTGTCCATTCTTTTTTTTTTTTAAACTTACTGATTTCAGAGAAAGGAGAGGGAGAGAATGATAAGAATCATTGATCAGCTGCCTCCTGCACGACCCACAGTGGGGATAGAGCCTGCAACCCAGGAATGTTCCCTGACCAGGAATTGAACCTGTGACCTGGTTCACTGAGCCATACCAGCCAAGTTATCCCTTCATTCTAAAGCTAATTTCTCTTGTGCTTTCGATAGTCTTTCCAGCTACAACTGGTCATCTCTTCAACCTTTCTTTCCAATGAGTTTTTAGAATTCTAACCACAATTCAATCTCCAGTTAAATTTCTTAGGAGTAGCTCTTATCTTGTCCCGTTACCCACACATCACAACTAGCATTGGCACTCAATAATTAGGGGATATTTCTTAATCTTCCCATATTTTCCTGATTACCCAGTCTTTGAAATGTTTTCCTCATTACTGGTTTTCCTATTTTACTTCAATTGTGCTCTCAATTAGCTGCAAAGCTAAATGTTCCCCCAAAGACTTCTTCCTTTATACAGACACTCTTACTTTATACATTCTAGGTTTAAATGCCACCTTCCATTTGACTTCACATACTTTTTTCCTAATTGAAATGTATTTTGTTTTAATTTTGTTTGTTTTTATTGATTGTGGAGAGGGAGAAACATCCATTGGTCACCTCTTAAACCCACAACCTGGGTATGTGCCCTAACTGGGAATCAAACCCACCACCTTTCAGGATTCGGGACAATGCTTCAAACTGAGCTACACCAGCCAGGGCGATAGTCATATACTTTTAAGCATTTGATAAAAACTATGATGGCTTTCCCAAAAAGAGGCACAACAGGAAACTTCCTACATTTTCCAATTCAGACCCCAGCATTTCTTCCATGCTTGTATATTCAAAAGTTCATTTAAAGTCCAGTACATAGTTAACCAGTTTTCTTACTGGACCTCTCTATATTTGAAAATCTCTCTTAAAATTTTTTTGAAAATGAAAAGCCAACCTTAGATGCAGATTAGGATATTGTTTAAAATTTCTAGTGGCTCCCATTGTCAGTGTAATACAAACTCCTTATCATGACCAAAACTACATAATCTGGGTTTTAACCATACAAAATTTAATTTTTGAAAACACATTAAGTGTTTACATTTGCTGTTCATTCTCCATAGATACTCTTCTCAGGAATGTGGACTCCACTGCTAGCTATTTCCCAAGACTTAACTATCACCATCTTTATAAAGCCTTGTTTAACCTATCTCCAGGAGGTTCGGTGTGCCTGTTTCTATCCTAGCCATTTGTCTGAACCATAGAAATAGTGTTCACAAAAATGAAGCAAAGCCAGCTCTATGTTCTTGTTCTACACCTAAGTAGGTGATTCAATTTCACCTGTGAAGTGGGGATACCATCTATCATATAGGGTTTTTTTTAAGTCCTAGGGGATATATGTAAAATGTTTATCAATGCCTACCACATAGTAAATGCTCAACAAGCTATAATTTTCATTAGTTTTATATGCCTATCTCCTCCAATAGAAGGCTCATAAGTGCCACTTCATGTTTTAAAGCTGAAGAAAAGTCACAAGCTAAAGCCATTCAAGAAATAAAGAGACACAAACCAAGTTTCTTCATCATTCTATTTATTACATGTATGAATATTAACATCTCATGGTATCCATCTAATTCAGTCAAAACCAACAAATGAAAAAGGTTAACCATGTTTCAAATGAACATTCTTACAGACTCCCCTGTAACTTAAAATAGAAATATGTTCACTGCATCAAATTGTGACAAATTTGAAAAATGTCATTTAAAAAAAGTCACCTTTAGTACTTAAATATATTTGTTAATTATTTGATGGCATCAATGTCCAAGTTAAAGAATAAAAGTTGCTTCATTAGGTATTTTTCAAAAAAGGACATCTGGATGGTTCTCTATAGCTGGAGCTATACATGTAATATATAAATGCATAAATGTCCTATTGTTTCTAAAATTTTTTCAAATCTGGCTTGCTTATTTGAGAAAAGTCCTGCAGCGCTCTCTCACAACCCCCCTTTGAAGGATAAAACTAACTTAGACTTTGCTTTAATCATGAGAACTACCAGAAAAAAATCATATGTTGAGGTTGCTGTTTAATTCCATTTTCACCCAATAAAAAGTACAGAAACACTGTCTTTATTTGATGGTGTGCATAAATATTACACTCCATGGGTAGCAAAAATATTTTTTATTTATAATTTACAGTTTCACAAGTGAAAATCGTACATTTTTATACATAACAATTTCGTTTTGTTAAATTTGCACACATCTACAGAACTTTCACACAACAAGCACCTGAAACTGTGCAGGCAGTAGGATATGCAAATACTAAAATGTATTTATTAACCAAATGATAGCTGAAGGCCCTGCCTCAGCTAGACAATTTATATAGATTTCTATATATACATAAAAAATTCTTCACCTACATCCAAACAGCAGCTTTTTTAAAAAAGAAAAACATATCTTTCTCATTTTATTTAAACTGACTCAACTGTATCATTTTCAGTTTTAATTTCAGTGGGTGTTGCTATGCTCTCCTCTGTACAAGCTGGTGGGGTATCAATTTGTTCTTCCTTAACTTTGGGACTTTCACAGGGTTCCTGCAATTCATTTTTGACAATGTTCAACATAATGTTCAAAGGGTTTTCAACTGGTGTCTTGCTGGGAGATGGTGTACAATCAAATGAAGATGTCTACAAAATGAAAATTTAATGAGTTTTATATGACAATTATATGGGCAAAGAAACATTCATATACCACATGCAACTGAAATACCTGCTTCCCCACAAAACAAGACTAAAAAGCCTAATCTTTTGATGGCCTACATATATCTACCAAACTGCCTCTCTGAACCCATGAAATAAACATTTGAAAGGCAGTATGTTCCGTTCCATTGTTTGGATTAAAAAAATGGGCACTATTAAAAAAAAAGTTTGAATTTCTAAGGGAAACACATTGATACCTTTTTCAGATTTCATGTGTCACCATTTAAAAAGTATTCCTATATTACATGGCTGAGTGAAGTATTTAAGAAAAAAAGCAGTATATGCTACCCATAATTCTAGAAACCTAGTCCCATCATCCTTCAAATCTTTGTTTTCCTCACATTTCTCTATGACTAGTGAAAGACGTCATCATGATTGAAGTGAATGGAATGCAAGGAATAAAATTTAAATCAGATTCTATCAATCTAACACCAATATAAGATTAAAATAGCAATAATGCTCTGATGCAAAAAATAACAATTTATTAATGTAAATGAGAACAGTAACCAAAAAGAACTTACATTTTGATAATCTTCATAACATGATGGATGATAAATCTGAAGCAAAAAGAAAAAAAGTAGATATTCACATGTATATTCATTTCTAATGGCTACTCTAGTAAGATTTTCTTTTCTAATTTAAACCAGAAGATAACTATGTTTGGAAAAAAGACAAAAATCAGTTGTTTACAAAAATGTATTAAAACATTTTTCATCCTGATTTCTCTTTAAAGTTGGCTTTCTGCATTTAAGTAGGTAACATGGTATGCTTTCAAGGCAGTAACAGTTTCAATGAAACAAATTTAGAATATGAAGTGTGGTTAGGCAGAAAGACTAACTAGATTCAGAAGACCTAGTCCTGGGTTTATCATTAACTAGTTATGCAACCTCTTATATAAATGAGTCTAGAACTAGACGACTGCTAAGATCCCTTCCAACTCAAACACTGACTAAATTCCAATACCTCTGAAATACCATTTTTTTATTAAAAACAAAAAACGTTTCTCTTTCAAAGTGGTGAACTACCCCCCTACAAAAAAAACAAATTTTAAAGCTTCCTATAAAGAACTGAAAATTACCTTTCCATCCACTCTAATAGCATTCTTTAAATGCCACTCCTCCTCTTCTTCATCCCAGTATTGTTCAAATTGTTCTTGACAGATTTCACAACTCTAAAATAGAGTAATATAAAATGAAATGTACTAATAGAACACATTAAGTAAAAATACATAAACATTAAGTGGAAGGATTTGAGTTTTCTGAAAGTTTAAACAATGTTTGACATACGACAGATACAAAATAAGTTCTAAGAATTTTGCATTCTTCCACGGGAAAAAAGCAAACATTTCACTGCTATCAGTCACTGATAGATATTATGTAAATAAATACAGTGGTTATAAAACCCCAAGTCAAATCATATTAGAGTACAACTGAAAAGTAAAGCTTACACGAAATCTTAGTATCACTAAAAGAGAGATGTAAATAAATATGTTTATTTGAAGTGAGCGACATGACCAGAGGTAGAAAATTTAACATTCTTTTCTTACCTCCACTGCTCCAGCTGGCCCTGCCGGTACACTTTGGAACTCCTTTTCTTTAGCAGCTTCCTGAGTTTTGAGCACAACTTCTTCATGAACCTTTTCAAAAAACTGGCTCTTTGCACGTTCTTCCAAATCAGCTATTTCCTCAAATTCTATCCAGTCCTTAAAAGGAGTTGATTTAAAAGAAGATATTTTCATTTGTTCCTAAACTTTTATTGCATATATTCATTATAATGCCACTTAAAGGTATGGGTGCCTTCTACAATATACCTTAATATTATTTAAAATTATGCGTTCTCGCCCTAACCGGTTTGGCTCAGTGGATAGAGCGTCAGCCTGCGGACTGAAAGGTCCCAGGTTCGATTCCGGTCAAGGGCATGTACCTTGGTTGAGGGCACATCCCCAGTGGGGCATGTGCAGGAGGCAGCTGATCGATGTTTCTCTCTCATCGATGTTTCTAACTCTCTATCCCTTCCCCTTCCTCTCTGTAAAAAAATCAATAAAAATATATTTTAAAAAAATAATAAAAAAATAAAATTATGCGTTCTCTTTCAACAATATTTGTTTTAAAAGAGTCAAAGTAAGTAAATAAAATTATGTATTCTCTTTGAGCCCCATAACTAATAGACAATATAAAGCCACTAATTACACTTAAGACCTTAATATTAATTTTTCATTGCCTCTAGACTTACAACTACTAAATTTAAAAAAGATAAATTTTATGTACAATTTAAAAAAAATCAGTCATAGCAACTTGGAATTTTAGACCTAGAAGAAATCTGTGTTCTTCTCTAATTTCAACAAAAAACAATACATACTGTTCAAATTTCTTTTATTTAAAAAACCTTTTATATTCTAGAGGTCAAATACTATTCAAAACATTCACAAGTTAGATCCCAGCAATTATTTAAACCAAGCATGTCAAATTCGCAGCCCACATGTGGCCCACAATGAATATATTTGCGGCCCAGCCAATATAATGGTATGTAAGAAACGTTTTAATTAAAATTTTGTAACTTAATTTTTACAATATCCTGTTATACATAATTATTAATAATGAACTACAACGTTCACTAATGACTGATCACTGTAATCGCCTTGCATTCATTTCCCTTATACACCAGCGCACCATTTCTCTCCACTAACACTAGCAGCGAGTATTTTAGCAGCCAATTGCCACGTCATTAGTCTTGGACTGACTTGTTTGGTGTATACAACAGGAAATATTTAGCTTTCAGAGAACAAGAAAAATGGGTTTATTTGTGTTATGCTTATTAATTTGTGCAGTTATTCAATGTCTGATAAGTTAATGTTCAAGAAGAAATATTTTTATTAAAATGTTCTATTATGTTAACGATTAATCATGTATTTCAGACCTTTGTATTCAGCATATCTCTACCGAAATAAACCTATGTTTCTATGAAAATTGAAGCTTTTGTTTTTTTTGTGGCCCACATAAACTTAACCCTTGTTTATTTGGCCAGTGTTAGCCTTTGACATGCTTGATTTAAACTAATATACTTTTAGAATGATAGAATTTAAAGGTTGACAGTTCAGAGACATATGGATTACGTACTGTTAAACTGTAGTACCAACGTCTATGAGTGACTTTTCTGCTAACATCTTTTTCAGTTCTATTTTGCCGATAATGCCAGTCCAAGTGATCTGCATAAACATCTGTCTGTGATGTTGTAAACCTCATTCCACAAGAGTAACACTGAATACCAGTGTACAGTCGATTTATAACACTATCATAACGTTTGTTTCAAAAAAACAAAAAAAAAACAATCTTTAGTTTTTAATGGACTTAAAAAAAAAGACAATTACAAATGTTTCCATTTTCTATTATTTTAATAATGCTGATGCCATTATTATGTGACAAAATAATGTTACTGACACTCTTTCCTTAACTTGGGTGAATTTTGGAACATGAAGTCTATCCTATTATTGACAGACCTGGCCTAATTGCTTATTTCCTTTTGGCTAAAAATGGGATGACCATGTGCTAACTAATAAAGCAATAGTTGGCCTGTTCTTAGACTAGTGTCAGTATCAAGGCGGACACAGCAAGCAGACATGGCAGAATAATTAGAGTTCACCTCTCCAGATTTTTGAAGTTCTCAGTAACTCAACTGCTCCACCCTGGTCTAAAGAATACTGGAAGAAGTACAGAAGCACTAATTGTATGGATTACTAAAAAGAAAAATTAGAAGACTAATGGGAAACTGAAATCAGCAATAATCATTTTTTAAAATTAGAGGTTCCCTACTTTGAATGAAATTGTATACAGACCAAGTAAATCCACAAACAGGGAAGTTAGGAACGCCAAACAATTTTTTAAATAGCAGAATAAAGCAAAGGACAATATACTAGTACTTTGTATACCAGCAAACAAAATAAATAGTGTCATAATATTAATAGTGAATGATTTAATAAAAAATGGTTATATAACTATAGAAGAAAATTGATAAAACAGTAAAAGAACTAGCTAAATCTTCACTTTCAGAAAGTCAAAAGACTTCTAAACATGATAAATCAAAAAATGTGATAAATCACCGCTGAAACCTCTAATTTTATTAACCAATGTCACTCCAATAAATTCAATAAAAATTTCGATTAAATTTTAAGAAAAGAAACATGATAAATCAGAAAAATTAGGGTGGAGCAAAAGTAGCTTTAGAGTTGTTTGGATGGAAAGTAATACAATAAATCATTAAAAATAATACAAATTCGTGTACTCACAACTGTAAACCTCTATTTTTGCCCCACCGTGTATGCATGTATATTGTAAGAAAATAAGAAAAGTAAATGCTAGGAACCATGGAATTTAAATGTTCTTTTATAACTAATATAGGCAACAGAAAATTATAAAAAGATATGCACCAAAGGTTAAGAGTGGTTATCAGTAAAGTGGGAATTGTAGGTAATTTTATTTTCTTGATTTCTATTTTCTAATTTCCCACAATGAATATGTATTACTTATAAAGGGAAAATAGATTTAAACATTTTTTTTGAAATACTATAGTACAAAAATTTAATTCTCTTAGCCCCAAAAGCATAAGTATATCAATGAAGAAAAAATAATAAGGATTAAGATCAGAAGATGAGTGATTATAAATACCTAATATTTAAACCATCTGTATTTGTTACACCAAACACAGATATGACAAAATAGAAATTTGGGGGAAGCCTTGGGCCTAAGTATTTGTGCAAACATATTTTAAAGGGGGATTTAAAAACAGGCTTCCTTAAATTTATGTTATGTGTATTTTACAACATTAAAAAAAAGAAAACAGGCTTCCTAGACTTTAAAAGGGGTATATAAGGGGTAAAATTAATAGCACTAATAATGTCCACTGTTAGTAAAGTCATTGCCCTTTTTATCTTAGAAAATTAGAAAGAAAATTAGATTACATACTGTTTTAACTCTTCAATTGTAAAATTGGTAAGATCTGGAACATCTTGATCTTCATTTTGATCTTCCTCCTCTTCAGTGGGAGGCTGAGCAGCAACTTCATTTACTTCTTCAATTGAAAAGAAATACACCAATTTCTCAACACCATTCTTCCACGTATTTTTTTTATAGGGGAATACTATAGTGTTATAAGCAATAGAGAACCCCATATTGTCTATTCAGTGCTTCTAAACTTATTTTTATTTACTGGCCAAAATATTTATCACTTATTTTGATAAGTGATATTAGGTTTTACCTTGTAAAAGTCAATCTTCACACAATTTTACTTCAGCAATATTCAAATTATTTGTAAAAAACTAAATTAACATAGTAAAAAGTCTGTACATTATCTATAGAAATGTTAGTAAATTGAAATAATGTACACTACAAAATTAATAATTCCATCTCAGAAAATTTAAAAATAATTTTATTATAAACCAATTCTATTAGATTTCCAAAAAAACAGAGTATACCCTAAAAATTCAATGATTGTAAGTAAGAACTTTTATAACTTACATTATATAATATTATATCATACACCTGTATAACTAAATGGAGCTTTGTAGAGATGAAGTATGGAAACATACTTACGTGTTGTAGCTGAATCAGGCTGGGACAATTTGAGAATTCCTGTTTTTAGCAGTTTTGAAAATAATTCATTTACATCCACCTGACTGAGGTGATTATCAGGATATGCCTTAGGAAGGGCTCCTTTAAAAAAATAAGAGTCTCAAAATGAAAGAACTTAAAGACATAAATTATACTAAACATGAAAAGGTTTCTTGATTTCTTGAAGATGTCCTATCAACAATAAATTTTACAAACTCTTGTTAAGGATGACTATAAATTACATCAAAAGCTTCTAAAATGAACTTTACAGATGGGTAAGTAAATCATCACCTCTTAAAAATATACTTTGGGATAAATACTAAAAAACACAGATACTTTATACTCATACTCCCTTCTATGCAATGCAGCACATCACTTCTAACCACTTCTATTTCCAACTACAGTGGGGCCTTGACTTACGAGTGTCCCGACTAACGAGTTTTTCGAGATACGAGCCGTCTCTCGGCTGATTTTTTGCTTTGAGTTGCGAGCTAAAATTCGGGTTATGAGCCAGCTTCAGATACCCCACCGCTAGTTGGCGCAGCGAACGTCACAGTGAACGCCACAACATCAGCCCAGCATTCAATTCATTGTAATGGTGAAAACTGATTTAACATACGAGTGATTTGAGTTACGAGCTCCGTCACGGAACGAATTAAACTCGTAAGTCAAGGCCCCACTGTACCTAAAATTTTTTATTCCTCATCTTCTGACTATACTGAGGGGTAGGGGGGAATACTCAAAGCCCAAGTGGAAGTACTCCTTCCTCAGCCTCCACCCCCATGACTATCCAGGGGAACTAATGCAGGAAGATGAACAATGTGGCTCCAAGTATACCTGCCACTCTGACCTTTGCTGAATTATTGCACTTGCAGAGCAGTTCAAACTACTGCTAAATAGGCGTGAGGATTATCAAAATGTCAATAATTGAGATAAAAATGATCTCCTTAAGCTCACTGGTGAGGAATCAATTCAATTACATATTTTGTTAAGCACTAATCTAATTATGATTCTTTCACTCAACTATAAAAGTATTAGTGACCTGTCTCGAGAAATCGAACGAGACCCAGGACCCCTCCTCCTCCCATCCCCCCACCGCACCATGGGACTGCCCTGAGTCCCGGAGTCCCACCCCGCGTGGCCAATGTGCCATGGGATGGCCCGGAGTCCTGGAGTGCCGCTCCAATGCCCCACACCTCTGGGCCGCAGGAGTGGATGCCGGCCCCCGCCCCCGTGGTGCACTG